GAGAGAGAGAGAGAGAGAGAGAGAGAGAGAGAGAAAGTTTTTGCTTAGAAGGAATTTAAAGTTCTGCTGATGAAACAAAACAGGCTTACATATGAACACATCAGAGAACAATCCTGAAGAAGGAAGCCCATCAGATAAACATCCCATGGAGGCCAGGAAGTTTAGGCGTATCAATCAACTTGTCAAATAAGTTACATATATGAAGGGACTTGATCATATGTTCAATTGTCTATATTTCTAAAATAGGATGTGTTAAGGAAGGCATGGGATTAGAGGGCTAAGATAACTGAGGATTCCCGGTAAATTCAGAATCAGGTGATAGGGAGAGAGTGAAAGCTGTTAAGGGGTGGGAAATTTGCTTCTCCTTCCTGTGACATAGTATCCTAAATCTAGACTCTGAATAAATGTAAACTTGAAGTTACCTGAGCCCTATATTTTACCTCAACATTATCTTCCCTCCACCAAAGCATTAAAGAAAATCCAGCTACCCCTCCTTAGCAAATGTACTTCTACATCATTCTTGGCAGCTGGGGAATGAGTGACATTCTGGTTGACTATTGCCAAATTTTATCCTCAGGATTTAGGAAATGAGTCTCTTCCTCTGGAGTGTCCTCATTCTTGGAGTCCAAACTTAGCCTCTTGCAGTTTTCTGGAGTAAGGGACCTTGCCAATCATCTGGTTCAACTCCTCTTGCAGGACAGAGGTAGCCCCTATGGAGTTCCTGTTAGGTTCTCCTGGACTCTTCTTGAATACCTCTCATGTGAAGGAGCTCACTTTCTGCCAAGGCAATCTACTTCAGTTTGAGACAATTTTAATTGTTATAAATTCCTTTAATTTATTAGGATAACTTTTTGTTTCTGGAGATTTCTGCTCAGCAGTTTTATGTTTATTTTCTGGAACAACCTACTAATGAGAGACAGTCAATTATGACAAACACTTATTGACCATTTAATATGATTTAGCACAATACCAAGAGTTTTACATACATTATCTTCTTTAATCCTTAAAGTGAGTCTATAAGAGAATACTATTGTTATCCTTGTCTTGCAGTTGAGGAAACTGAGGCTTAAAGTTCTAGCTCTTGCATGAGCTAGGACAGAGTGCAGGTGCCAGAGCTGGAATGGGGTACAGATATTTGACTGCACAGCTCAGGCTCCTCATTTATTCAAAACCTTCTTTAGACAGGTCAATGCAGTATCTACCCCAGTACCTTAGTCAATAGGGTACCATTTAAGAAATATTTTAATACATTCTCATAAATGTAGCTTTGCTTTGTTTTCTATGTATTAATGAGTATTGCTGTTCTATACTTTATATACAAATGTGTGTGTACACACACACACACACATTTATGTATATTTCTCCAGAGCCCTTCCCAAATTCCCAATACTGTGCCAATTAAAATTGACTTCATGTATATCTTCTCAAGGTAACTACTTAATTCAGTGTTGGTTGAGATTTTGCAGCAATGAGCTTGATTTTGCTTTTATTTATCTGTGTATTTTTTCCTCCCTTGTTTAGTTTCAGCCCGACATGATTCTGTTGTCCCAATTCAGCTATTCGCATGTATCATCTGTCACACTGCATGTCTACCCATGGGCTGCTACTTAGAGAGACCAGGGGATCTACTGCAAGTAAATAATTGACATACTCAAGAGGAATCCAATACATTATAGAAAAGAGCAATGTCCTTCTCTTAATGTGATTTATAGTGAAATATTGGCTATGGAGACAGTTGCATGTTGTGAGATTTTTTTTAAAAAACAGAGAATAGCAAGAAAACAAATATACCTCACACTTTCTTGTGTCAGTTCTGAAACATTTCCTTTTAGATATTATACTGATGATATTTTCTCTGGTACTTATGCATGCAATATAGCCCGAAGTGTGGAAATAAAGGAAATTTGACTTACAGGCTGTCCAGGCTCATCTCCCCCGAGGATTCTGAAGCCAAATCCAGACTCCATCCTCCGAAGGTGAACATCCAATTCCTTATAATCTGGACCTGGCATAAAGGAGATCCCATTGAGTAATGAATCCTGCCTTCTCCCTACCCCCTGAGGAATTGAACAAACCAATGATAAATTAATTTTGTGAATGTGATTAATGGGAGTTCTGTTACAGTCCGTGGAAAGCATAGAGGATTAAAAATATATGGTAGCCCAAAAGGCATTTCAAAACTAGGTAGTTCCCTAGAATAATAGTGACCAACCAAGGATATTTTTAGGGTATTACCATAGGAAGAAAGAGAACATGAATTTTCTCAGTAAAAAAAAAAAAAAACAATCGATGTCTGTATAATTCTTTATTTTCCTAAGAGCTTTGGGATTTTCCTCAAGAATCTTGGCTGTCATTTTCAGGATTTTTACTCTGATTAGAATGATTATTTCAGGAGTAAGAGAGCCCAGATAGCAAAAACCTGAAACTACCTCATGAAGTGCTACCTAGTAATTCAGTAATATCTCTCTGTGTGTGTGTGTGTATGTAAGGCATAAGCTTATGCCTGTGTGTCTCTAAAACTGAAAAAAAAATTAGAATATATTGAATTTAAACATTTTTCTACTGGGGTTATTATGAAGTATTTATTTTCTGACAGATTAAGGTTTTTCATAATTTACAGGTAGAAATTCATTTGGATCTAAGATAAACTTTTCTCTCTCAAACGTTTCAGAATGTGGAGAACACTAAACATTTTTATTGTAGTGAGTGATTTTTGCTATAGGGAATGTGTGCTCATTAGAAAGACAGAGAGTCAGAGAGACAGAAAACAAGAAATCATCCCCCAGGGGGATGACCACACCACTGTCCCATTTCCTCTATTCTCTTCTTGGGATTTTGGCCATGTATGCACATGTCCCTGGCATGAGTTTTAAGCCACTGTGTCTGCGGCTCGAACTGCGGTCGGCTGCGTGGGAGTCCAGCAATAAAATCATTACATTATCTACTGGTCCTAAACACTAAATAACTTGATTTTATTAGCATACTCAAAAGAAATGAGAAGACAGATACTTTTCTGAAGTCAACTGAAAGAACAGAAAGGTACTTAAAATAAGTCATGAAACTCTACTAAATGTCATTTTTTCAGCCCTAAAAGAAACCAAAACCATAAGCAAACTTTTGACGTTTTAAGGAGAATACGATAGAATATGATTTATTCTTACACCCTGCCCCTGACCCTTTGTACCTGCCTCATGGGGCAAATACCTTAATCATGACTGAGCAGTGTGTACTTTTGTGCCTACTCTTAGAACATATTTAAAAGAGTAGTAATTTTTTTTTTGAGAGGTTTTTGCTATAGGGTGCATGCGCTTGCCAGACAGACAGAGAGAGACGGAGAGACAGAAAGCAGGAAATCACCCCCCAGGGGGGATGGCCACGCCACAATCCCTTCTCCTTCATTCTCCTCTTGAGATCCTGGGCATGCACGCACATGCGTACGGCATGAGTTTAAGCCACCGGGTCCGGGACTCGAACCGCTGTCGACTACGTGGGAGTCCAGCGACATAGCCATTACACTAACTGCTGGTCCCAATGACTAGTAATTTTGAGGAATACTTATCATGATATCCTTTACTTAAGAAGTGTTTAAGGGACTAGCATATGGCGTAATGGTTATGTTGTTGGACTCTCATCTAGTCAACTGTGGTTTGAGTCCTGGACCTGATGAATTACTGGGCACCTCTGTGTGTGGGCCCAAAATCCTGAGAGAAGAATGGAGAAGAGGGGATTGTGGTGTGGACACTCCTACGTGGGGTGATTTCTCGCTTTCTGTCTCTCTGACCAGCTCTTGTGACCTGTAACAAAAATCTCTCTCTTAAAAAAAAAGAACTGTTTAGTGACTTCTGGGCCTTGATGGTTTAAAGACAGGATTAGAAGTACTAGAAACAAGTATTAAGTAAAAATTCTCCACTTAAATAGGATAGTTTTGTAAATTAGGATGGGATTTCACAGGAGAATCTTCATAAGATAAAAATCTATGTCTGAGCTGCTTGGATATCTTGTAGTAGTCTCAGTAGAGAGAGAGACCCATTGAATGAATGATGGCCAGGCAGATCTTTTTCAAGACTCCACAGTGAGACTGCTAAAGTGATATAGCGTATAAAGCATAATGATACTGGGTTTGCCCAACAACTAGATTATGTCCAGTGAGCCACAAAGGGCAAGTCATTCACTTCTGATATGTGGGCACAAGTTAATTATCTTCCTGGTACTCCCTTTAAAAACACAGACTTATGCATATGAATACACAGACATGTATATATTGTGCAAGACTGAATAACTATTCATTGCATTTTATGATCAAATGTACTTCTAACCAAGGTCTTTTTCAGTCAATGAAAAAAATTTAAACTCTCAAATAGAAACCAATTAGACTTCCACATAATCTAATCATCTTTCATAAATTGTGTAATCATTCATATTTTTAAAAGGAGAGAACTTACAATAATTTAATTTCTGTTACATAATTAGAGTTGGGTGGTAAAGAGAATATAAAAACTTTGTCTCACGCTCTAGAAGTCACAACAGGCCTTTAAACTCTGTGTATTCTGGAGTTTTCAGTATCATATATGAAATCACACACTGGGACGTGTGCTAAGCCTTTGTGAGTCTGAAAGCAGATAAGAACTTTCTATCTACTTCAATATTTATACTTTTGTACTGCTGCTAAGTTAGTACATGGAAAATTGTTCTTCCAATGACTTTAGTGTCCAACCATATTGTATGAGAACTCTAAAAGGAATTTGCAGTGTCATCCATCTTATTTGCTATGTAAAACTATTCCCCTAAGAAAATGCTAAAATTGTGACAATTCTAGTAATGGCATTTTGAGATGTCAAGGTACAAGGAGTTTGTCTTATGTCAGAGAATGCTATGATTCCTGGGGGAATTAGAAGGCTTTACCTTAATGAATGATTCATTTCTTCTCTCTCTGTCTCCTTTAGGAGAAAAATCTAGATTTTAGTCAGTTAATTTTTTTTAACTCTGAACAGCAGATAAGTGAACAAGGCATTTATCCTCCTTCTCCTGCTCTTTGTGTGCATAATTACAATCCCCTGATATTGATCTGACACACTCCGATTTCAAATACAGGGTAGCATGTGCCAGTCATTCTGTCTTTACCCTTCCATTCTTCCAGGCTAGCTTCATGGCTAGCTTCATGGTCCATGAGTGAATAGAAATCCATTAGAGAAATATTTCAGCAGATGTGATCTAATTTTTATTTCTTTGTTAATTTTGAACACAGACTCAGAGACTGCAGGACATGGGAACTTTAGAAAAATAGTCAAATGGAAAAAAAAATTAAATGATAGATTTTTCCTTGACACAATATTTTTTTTAAGAGAAAATAAGAGCTTTTAGAAAGACAATGTTTTCTTTGGTTTCTCTCCCCTCCCCCTTTCTTTGAGTTTGGCTTTACAAAATAAGTGAAATTGTATGGAAAAAGCTGGGAGACATTCTTCTTCTTGCTTTGTTAGCTCTCTTGAAATCATGATGCTTCTGTTACTTTCCCTTAGCTGCTCTTCTGGCCCAATGACATGCTTTAATGATTGTATCGTGCTTTATCTCTTCTCTAAATGCAAGAAAGTTAAAGGAAATAAATCCAAGGGCCAACCATTTACCCCATTTGCTAAAGAAGCTCTCTCTTGTTTATAAATAAACTGTATACTTGGATTATGCATTGTTAGATGAAGGGGCCTGGTAGCTACGTATCCAGACCTGAGTTACTAGGGGTGTCACTTGACCACACTCCACTAATACTCTTTTATTCTTTTTCTCTTTTACCAATGTCCACGGGACATTGCTTATTTTCTGCCTCGTTTATTTTCTTTCTTGCTCTCTTGTATAGTTTGCTTTTTCCTCAGCCCTTTATGAAGAGCTATCAGAGATGCTTTCAGGTGTTGCTTGGTGTAGCTCAAGAGAAGGCAGTGGTTGTGAAGAAATGGACTAAGGGGAGAGAGAAACTTCTTTGGACATTGTTTTTTTATTTTATTTTATTTTTTTTTGAGAGGTTTTCACTATAGGGTGTGTGTGCTCGCCGGACAGACAGAGAGAGACATGGAGACAGAAAGCGAGAAATCACCCCCCAGGGGGGATGGTCACACTGCAATCCCTTCTCCTCCATTCTCCTCTCGGGATCTTGGGCACGCATGCACATGTGCCCGACATGAGTTTTAAGCCACTGGGTCCGGGACGCGAACTGCTGTCAACTACGTGGGAGTCCAGCGACATAGCCATTACGCTAACTGTTGGTTCCTGTGGACATTGGTTTTTAATGGGCAGCCATGGCCAGTGTTGTTCTGTCTTTAGAAGTCAGACCCCAGGATCCTCAGGCATGATGAAATAAATCAATGCCTGATATTCTTCTCAGATTGGATTTTACATGACCACTGTGGCAAGCAACAAGAATGAAATTTACCAGTTCTCATTTATCCTGGGCTTATACCAATCTTGCAAAAGCTAACATTTAAAAGGTAGCAAATAGTGACACATCCAGTTCTCAGGACAATCTCCCTCAAAACAAAAAAAAAAAAATAGAATTTTAAAAGTTAATTTCTAGGCCAACCAGGTTGTGCAGTAGTTAAGGTGACTAGATTCCACATGACTGAGTGCACATTTTTTAGTCCTGGACCTGGTGGCTTAAAAATACTACTGGGTGCATGCACATGTGTGAGCCCAAAATCCCAAGAGGAGAATGAAAGACAAGGGTTGTGGTGTGGTCATAACCACTGGTGAGTGATTTCTCATGTCCTCTCTCAGTCTCTGTTTCCCTTTAGCAAGCACATGTACCATATAATGAACTAAAAAATAAAAGTTCCTTCCCTTTTTATAGTAAGACTTTGGAGAGCTTAACATGCTCTATGTATCCTTGGTCTTGCTTTTGAAAGGCATGGCTTTGAAAGGCACAGCATTAGGAGAAAGGCTGGGTGACTGAACATAACTGATTAATTTTATGAATGAATTCAATCTTTAAAAATGCAAAGAACAGCATTTTTATGGATTAAT